AGGAAGGAAGGAAGGAAGGAAGGAAGGAAGGAAGGAAGGAAGGAAGGAAGGAAGGAAAACTCTTCTAAATGGACCATAACATAGGTGACGTCTTACAGTGTAGGTAATGCTATGGCTTTCTACAGAGCAGGAGAGAAATGTAAATGGCTTTGTCATAGTTCTGTGTTCAACAATGGACTTGTGTAAGGAATATTACAATGAAATATCTGTACCTAAAGACTCCTACAGAAGAACCACCAGCTTACAAATTATGAATCGAAGCCTTGACAAATAAGTAATGCTCAAGTTTTGGTTTCTCATTTGTAGTCCTGATCATTCTTCAGTTCCATTTTTGAATGTATCTAATGCTTATAAGTGAAGCAAGATATTTCCTGCTTAGAATTATATATTCCTTTGCCAGTTATTTTTTCAAGTCAACTGTTGAAGCCTAGAGATCACCTCAGAATACAAATTTAGGGCCCTATCCCCAAACTCAAGTCTATGATTTTTATACCAGAATGTGGTTCCTATATCCTGAACAATATTTTTTGATAAGCCANAAACTTTTAATAAGAAACTGTCTGAAATATTTACTTCATACTTTATTGTAGTTCTGAATAGGACAACTACAAGACCTATTAGACCCAAACCCAGTGGGATGCCCAACGGGAATGGAGTAGGAACAGGTAATGATCACAAATTTATTTCCTTTTAACCCTGTCAAAACTATAAACATTCTTCAATTTTTATAATTTTGTTGAATTCATACTTCAATTTCTTTTTTTACCTGTTTTGGAAGTTCTCAGTAAAACTGGGATTGAAAATTATAACCCGTTCCGAAATCAAAATTTCACGTCTCTGAAAACATTAAAAAAAGAATTTTTCACTTTTCTAAACCCAGTTCACTAAATTAGCTACCATATAATCTTGCTTCTTAAAAAGATCCTGATTAAACATGAATTATTGAATGAAAATAATAAAAATAGCTATTTTCCTTACTTTCAGGACTTTTTAATACATAGCCTGGTCTTTGAAAATGTAATTACTTGGTTTTCAGGTTTATAATTTCACAAGTACCATTATAATTTTTTTCAAAGATCTATATCTATTAGCAATCTGGAATATGAAATTTAAACAAAAAGAAGCATATTTAATCAGAGCAATTAGCAATTGATCACTCTGGTTACAGTCATGTTAATGTTTCCAAATCATTCAGCTTAAATAAATGACATAGCCCTAATCCAATGAGATCTATGAGATCTAGGCATCACTGTAGATAATTAGGACTGATGTGATAAAAGTTCAAACACCCAACTTACTTCATGGATAAATGGTAGTTATTAGATGCCTTAACATGCGATTGCATCTTTCCCTTGAAATATATTTAATAGCATAAATTTTGTGCTTTCTTATATTAAAAAGCATGAAAGTTAGAATTTATTTAATGCATGCCGATTTCACCAACACATGATGGTTCCCTAACAAGAAAGTGATGTGAATAATGCCTAAAGATATGTAGTCTAAACAAGATTTAGATTTGTTTTAGAATGTGGTCTTTGTACTTTTACTTGATTATTACATTATCTGAAGTTCTAGGAATTCACTTCTCTTCAAACCAGATGAGGCCAATACTATAAATTCCTGACTCGTAAAAAGCAAGAGAGCATTCCAATATCTATTTGTGCTCAGTTGCTCCTTTTATTCTTCCCGACTGTGAGATAAGGCACTGCTTACTTTCTGAGATTGACATAAACAATCTGGCTCTAAGCAGAGCCACCTTCTCTCAGATCCTTTTGGGAGGAAGACAGGTACAAATTATTTAATATTCAAATAATTCCTTGGAGGTTGCATAAGCAAAAATAGAAGAAAGCATCTAGATGTCAACAAATCAGATAAAAGAATGAGTAAAGTAGCTATGATCACACTTAAAAGCCATTAACCTTCAGCAAAATCAAACATAGATGATTTCATCTTTCAGAAGGGAAACAGGGGCCGGCCCGGTGGCGCACTGGATAGTGCGCCGCTTGGGAGGCGCGGCGGCGCTCCC